AAATGTCGATGCTCTTCTTAATCCTCTAACCACTGGTAATGTATCTATAAATCTCATGACATTCAGTTCTCTAACACTCACATCTAGTCCACAAAAACAGCTACCACGAAGTCCCGTATTTAATTGAATTTAATTCAAGAACCGGTGAAATCATGCAACAACTCGACGATTTGATCAATTTCGAAACTGATGATCAATCACAACTGACCGAACCTGGACCTTCATCATCAACTATAACCGTTTCAAATGCTCTTTGTTCTTCTCCATTATCCGTTGATCGACCGTTTTCGCTACATACCAATTTATTGACATTATCGGCAATATTTTCGTCAACTGAATGTCCATCATCATCAGCCGATCTCGTTCCACCATCGAGACATAAACAAGTGCGTAAACGGGCAGAAGAGAATTATTTAGAAACAGCATACAAGAACCGTGCAAAATATGACCAACATTTAAGTGAATCAGCCAAAAAATTTAACATTGGTGATCGTATTGGAATCAAAATCGATAATGTTGACCGTACTAACACTGATCCAAAAATCTGGCCATGTCTCATCATTTCAAAAGAGAAAAAAAGAACAAAATTCCGTTTTCAAGGTAGCATGTCAGTTTGGAAACTTGACGAATTCATATTCGGTCGAATCATTGGCTGATTTAAGAACATCATGCCCAAGTGAATTGACATCGACAAAAATTGAACAACGTCCCGAAATGACATTCATCGAAGCGTGTAAATTATTTATACGAAACGCCATCAGTGGACCAACTTGCGACTGCAAAAGTACTTGTCAAACAAAACATTGTTCATGTGATTGATCATCAGTTTCGAAATTGATCAAATCGTCGAGTTGTTGCACGATTTGACCGGTTCTTGAAGGAAATTCAAGTATTTCTTCCTGTGGATCATTTGGCTCTTTTTCTGTTTCTCTTGTTGACTGGAACAAGGAACTTGATGTCCAATTAAATACGGGACTTCGTGGTAGCTGTTTTTGTGGACTAGATGTGAGTGTTAGAGAACTGAATGTCATGAGATTTATAGATACATTACCAGTGGTTAGAGGATTAAGAAGAGCATCGACATTTATGTCTGATATTGAAAGATCAAGAATAGAAGTGGGAAGAGCAACGGCTCTGTCAGCGGAAAGATTAATTAGAGTGCCAACAAGAACACTCACGTCTTTATCGACCGTGTAAACTCCAGTTGGATCGGTCGTGTCTTCATCTTGTGATTCACTTCCTTCTTTTTCATCCTCTTCGACTGGCATTGGCAACTGATCTTCATCTTGTACCCATTTTAGCACATAATTTTAAATTTGCCTAGGCCAATTTGAAATCAGCCTAGGCATAACCGAAATTTCAATTATGCCTAGGCTGATTTTAAATTGGACTAGGCATAATTCAGATCAGCATGTGCACGCATCTTAATTTGATTTATGCCTAGGCGAATTTAAAATTGGCCTGAATTTGAGTTACGCCTGTAACATATACACACGTCTACGTTATACATCAATCGTTATACTTAATTTATCCGTGTGATCAGAAGACATACATCGCACAAACTTCTTCATAGAAGTGAGTATAAACATACTTTAGAAAAATCTAAACGCTCGACTGTAACTGATAATTTTCTTGATTAAGATCAGAAACCAAGATGAAATTAGCGTTGACACATACTAAGTTTGGCTACAACATATATATATGTTACTGCAGTACATAAATAAAATATTCGATTTAAAACACGAATAAAATAAAGGTAGTTATTAAATCACATTATATGAACTCTGTCGATAGTATTGTGTGAAAAAAGTGATATATTTCTCATCAGCTTCACGTACTAGTGTGGATTAAACTAGAAATCCAATTACCTTTGGGGAAGATTGGAAACTCTACTCAATGGAACGGTAAATAAGCAAAATTAGAAGATCTAGAAAGTTACAACAGTCTGACTCTTTCCAGAAAAGTATATAAAAAAAAGGAATTTCCAGTTTATAGAAAATCGAATTTCCAACAAGCTACAAAATCGCCGTTGAATTTCCATAAATAATTTCCAAGAATCTGGAAATTCCTTCTTGAATTTCCAGTTTGTTAGAAAATCGCCGTTGAATTTCCATAAATAATTTTCAAGAAAGTAGAAGTTTCTTTGTGATTTTCTATAAACTGGAAATTCCTTGGCGGATCTGCAACGAGCGGTGGCGCGACCAGGTTCTATGGGAGTTGACCCCGCTCATGCTTTTGAGAAATTTCTGGTGAACGTCTCCGATTTTCGGACCTTCCTATCAAAACTTCGCGCCATCACTGTCTCTGTCTAGATCAAAATGCTTGTTGGCATAGGCAGAATTGTGATCTAAAGTAGAAATTGTCACAGTTGATTTAAGTGTAATATGAGTGTCTTTACGTGACGCTCTTATACCTACATTGATTGCAAAACAAAAGGATGAATAAGTATTTGGTCTAGAAATTCCTGGGCGAATTTCCATTTTCTAGAAAATCGCCGAGGATTTTCTAATTTATAGAAAATCAAAATCGAATTTCCAGATTCTTGGAAATTATTTATAGAAATTCGATTGATTCTCTATAAACTAGAAAATCTCTATAAAGTAGAAAATCAACATTTCCGAGAAAGCTGAAAATTTGTCGAGGAATTACTATAAACTAGAAAATCCCCGGCGATTTTTCGATCGATTTTCTATAAATGGAAATTAATTCAAGATTACAGTGTATGACATCTTCGGGACAGAATATGGACAGTATGAAAACACAGGACGTTTGACATTATTCAGCGAAGAAAAATCATTTCTTCAAAAGTCCCTTCCTTGGCTACGGGCCTGGGTCTAGTAGAAAGAAGAATTTTTTGTAGTGAAACAGAATAAGCCGCTCTGAGTTTCACTCGGTCGGCTTAAAGAATTTTGCTAGGTAACGCGGCAGTGAAAAGCAACTGTCTGCTATCGTTGCATTCTGCTATCGGTCGACTTACATAATTACTACAGGACAGCAAACACTGTAAAGAGATAAGAGTGATCGCTACCTGAAGGCATGTCACACACGAGCAGCCACAAGAACAGTCGCAGATAGCAGTAAATGGTGTTTTAAATAATTCTTATAGCTTATGAGCTAGAAGCTAGAAGAACAAAATATTCGCAAGTCATGCCATAATTCTATTAAAAGTTTTTGTTTATTCGTATGTTATTTATACAAAAAACAACAATTACAATGATTAGTTCTGTAGCCTTTTGTTGTTTCATTCCATATACGACCTGAAGGTAAAACATGTCCTTATTATCACGTTTTGTTTTGTGAGCATAATTACATAAAAAGATGGACGTATAGAGAGCACTTTATTTTGTTTATTTTTGAAGTAGGTGACTTTTCCAGATTTTTCAGAACGATACGTATAAACGACTACAATCCAGTGTAATAAAGTATACAGTACTTTTCAGCGAAAATTCTAATATCGTTTTGTTTAAACTGTCTTTCTTAGACTAAACGAAAAAAAGTATCGTATGCAGTTTCAGATTCAGAACCATTTCAAAAGTCGATTGTTAGCTACGAAAAATAGATATAATTAGTTTAATGAGCATAATTTAGAATAATACTTTTCCTATAAATCATTTGGAATCAACGCAGTAAAAAAATAGATGTATTAAGACATAATTAGCAATGTCTCATTGTGTTTTCATGTTCTGATGTCTCAGATAATACGTTTCACGTCTCAACGTGCTTTTCCCATCTCAGTATAACTTCGTGTCTGAATAATACACACAAGTGAATTCATTCACCGTTTTTATTTAGTTGCTCTAATATATGTGTTGCAGGAGAAATTAAAATCAGCATATTCACAAACACGAAAACTCAATTATCCGGCTTTTGAGTTCGAATTTTAGTTTTCTGAAAAGCGCACGATGTCTATGGACATCAGGTGAAGATTATGAACCGTGACTGCGAATCCAAAAATCGCTATCCGATCAATATATGGCCATAAGTTCGAGTACAGGTCACAAAACGTTTACAGATCAAATGCTGCTCACAAGTTACGATTTTTGCACTCGCGGACATTGGTTATAGCTTTCACCTGATGTCCAGAAACATTGCTCGCTTTTCAGAAAACTAAAATTCGAATTCTAAAGCCGGATAATTGAGTTCTTGTGTTTTTGAATTGGTTGATTTTAATTTTTCCTGCAACATATATAAAAGAAATCAATTTTGATGCAAACACTTAGAATTCTTTTCGAGACTATCTTTTCTGAACTATAACTGAGAACAAGAGAATGGAATTTAAGTCGCTTTATTATCATGTTATAACGCAAGAGTACTTGTAGGTCGAACTTATCGATGAGAACATCACCTTATATAGGCGTTTGAAAAATCTTTTAATACCCCTTTCAAATTCTGTCGTTATTACGTCGAAGATTGCGTCTCAACATATTAATGTGTCTCACAAAGGCTTCAACCCTGATCTGTCGTACGACCAATAAAATGTGAACAACGATGAAAAGTATTTTTTACGTTGAACAAAAGTATGCACCCACCGTCCAACTTGGTTTAGAGAAAAGTCGCAAAAACGCACTATAATGTGTGTACGAGGATGTTGTTTAAAGTCAACAGATTTTTCGTACAAATATAGGCTCCGCAGATCAATCAAAGAGGAATACCATAAAATCATATGCTCTTTCACTCTAGATACCTTTCAATTGAATTTCAAATGAGGTCAATTTTCGTTCTTATTGCCTTCCCTATTCCTTTATTTTAATAGAATACCTTTAGAATTGAATGAAGAGTGTATAAATGTGCCTCCGTTACGTTTTCCACTATATGCATTTAAACGTTTTAACATCTGAAAACAATGTTAGTACTAACTAACGCATTAATTTTCGTAAATAGAATCATTCCATCGAACAATGACCTATTGTTCGAGCTTAAAGATCGATCCGAAAAGAAAGCAGACAATATTCCGATCAAGATATGTCCATTAAAAAATATTGGATCATCGGCACGGTATGAGTTTGTGTGGTCAACATTATTAATTTTTGTCAAAAATCTTTCCTTTCCAGTATCCGTAACTGGTAGCTAAGAAGTGATGATTTCACTAGATGTTTTACTACTTGTTACTATCAAAGGATATAGAAAATATTCAAAATGTATATAAGGAACAGCACACATTCGAAGTTTCGAAAAAGAACCAAAAAAAACAGTCGGCCGTTAACAAAAAGCGGGGGGGAGTGGGCGCCGCCCGGTGGCTGATATGGGTGGG